TCTGTTGTTGTCAAGTATTTGGCGGGTTATTGAAGTTGCATATGTTGATTGCAAGGGAGATTTGATGGCTCCTCTTTGTGTACGTATTGTGAGACGTCTTGATAGTGAAGTGGTCGTAATAGCAATATACGAATGTTGTTGACGTGCATTTTCGTCAGTAGCGCATTTAAATTCTTGTATTACATGGTCACGTTTCAAAGTAGAATTGTCTTTAAGAGTACAGTTGTTCTTTAAGACCAATTGTGATGTGATACAATTATTGGAGTACATCCTGAGTTTTATTTTATAAGTATCATTGATTGGTGTCACATTTCATTTTATGATTTGTTTGAGGACGACTTTGTTTATTTCATGTGCGGTTGAAATATGATTTCTGTAATTATGTTGTTGTCATTGTTGTTTTTAAGTCTTTGTTGAATGGTGCTTTCAATCGATGATGTTTTGTAACCATTGCTAGTAATTCCTTTCAGTTCCGTATTGCGATCTTCAATTGAGGTTTTTATTGTACTTACTTTGAATTATTTCGTACATTCACTTAACCCATTTAAACAAATACTTTTATTTGTTGCTCTGACGTTTACAGCAGCTGTAAATCTTTGTTCGTCATGCGTTGCCAAAACATCCAGAAATGGCAATTAATTTTCACTCTCGTTCTCAATGGTGAAATTCAATATTGATTGGCTCAGGGTTGCTAGTAGCTAGTTGCCCATGCATCATGATTCTTCTTTCAATCTTGTTGATGTAATCCAAAGGCATACTAGGCTTTACATTTGGCACCGACTTTGTTGCAGAAGCTGCCAAAGGGAAAACCATATTTAGTAATCTCTTAGGGGCTCCACTTCTGATTTATTGAAACCACAAAGTAGTGGATTTAAAAAATAGAACCAGTCTAAAAAATATTACCAGTCTACGTTCCTATTTACAGAGGCTTTCCTCTGACGATTCTAACTTTAGCCAGCACAGTGGGAGGTGCAGACTCTGAGTGTCGGACAGGCGTGGTGCTACCAAGTTAATCGTACTCAGCTTTGGCATCCAAGTAATCTGGAGTGGTGATTAAACTCAGTCTTAGCCTTTCCTTGGCCCGTCGGCATACCCGTCGTTTGCATCCTTCCCAGTGCCGTTGTCCACACCCCACGATGTGTTATCTTATTTAAGTTTCAGACTATACCAGAGTCAGGATGGATTTTACGGCACATGCACATACACGTACACAAACTACGCACACTACACATATGTACACAAACCACACACACACACACACAAAATTTCTCGTTTAATTTAATGACCTTCTTTTCACTGTGAGAACTTTATGTGGGTGATTAATTTTTTTTTATTATGATTGTTTAACAGTCGCTGATCTTTTATCATGAATAAATTTAATTTTATTATTTTCTTTCATATCTTTTGCTAGTTGTTCAACTGGATTGACATGGTCGGAAATTTGTTGTGGGACGAGGATTCAAATACGTCGTTCATCTTTATGTTCACCTGATGTCTCCAACTTCGCAGAATAACATCGTATAAAAAAATTTATTATTGTAAATTGTCAAAGTCATCATAATTGAAAATTATTGCAACGAACGACTATCAACTACATTCAGCTGGCAGGTTGATACAGCTTCGAAACCAACCTCGCCAACACCTCCCTGAATGTCTTACAGATCACCAACACTACAGTTTCACTACCCGCCAAACTTCTACAAATATTTTATTACTTATTGCACGGGAGTTGCAAAAATATTAAAAAAATAATCAGATTCAATTATTTTAAACTAATATTCACTAATTGTAGAGTTATTCAGAAACAAATGAAAAAAAATGCTATTGATAATTTTCAAAGTGAATTCATTAAAAATAACGAGGAGTTTTTGATCATTGGAGTGGAGATGCAATTAAAAAGTGGTAAAATAATAATGGAAATAGCCATTTAAGCATGGACACGCCATTATTAATTAGCATTCATTTGTGATCATTCATTTTTTTCCAATAAAAAATTCTCGCTGTCTTTAGCTCGTAATTAAAAATTCTGAACATTTCTACAGTAAATCTTGTTGAAATAAACTTAAGTGACGTGTAGTCATTAATTAATTGCTGCTCGTTATTTATCACGCACGTTGTTATTGTGATAGGCGCCTTTTATTAGCTATCATTCAACTGAACTATTACATCGTTTCATTATTATGAATTCTAAAACACTATCTTAATTGACAATAATACCTTCATTTCTTCAATCTTTACTCAAAAATATCTTTTAATTGGAATGAGACAATACGTTTTCCTAACTTAGAATTAGTTAAAACTCATCACCCATAGTGTGACTAACCGCAAATAATGAATTATTTATGTTCGCCATAGGCTCAAGTAACTGTAGTTAACGCAGAAAGTATTTCATGATTGAAAGCAAAACGTAGATAAAGCTTTGTATCTAATTAAAAAACTATCTGTAATTATGTTTTGTTCAAAAAATATTTTGTAATAGTTAAATGTTTTAAAATTTACATGCCTATGAACAAATTTTGCAGGAACTGCACTTATAATCAACTTTGAAATATTTTGAAAAATTGTACAATTACACATTTTAAGAAACGAGGATCATCTTCTCCCCAGTCTCTCTCGACCCCCGGCAAGTCATCCTTCGACCACCGACGGGGTTGCCTTCTCCAAATAGGGGACCACTGATCTAATTTCTCTCATCACACTCCATTTTTAGCCAGGTTTCTCAAAAATTTCTAATTTTAAATTAATTTTGACTAAACCCAGTTAGCTTCAATTCAAAATTGTCAAACATAAAACTAATGGAAAGAAAAACTTTTTAAATGTTTGGTCATAAAGTACGAACAAACACATTCTTAAACTATTTTGTAGTTTATATGTTTTGTTTTAAAACAAATTATGCTGTTTACTTTTGAATATGCTCACACTGAATTGAATGCATTGCAATGATTCACTGAAAACTCTTCCAAATAATTGCGTGCTTTATGTTCGTCACTGAATGGAAACTCATTTTATCTTTAGAGAAGCCGGAAGAGAAGATTATGTTCGTTGAAAATGATAAGATGTAAAAATAATTATTTTGAAAATAATTCTGAGTTATTCAACAATAGCTTTGCTTTCAATGAGTTATTTTTCACGTATAATTAATGTAATTAACTTGATAATATTTTGAATGCAAAATTCAAATTTGAATAAAAAAAAAACATTGCGTTGTCTTATAAATTTCTGTTTTAAAATGTTATGCCAAATTGAAAAAACAAAAAAGAATAAAAATAACAAAAATACTTAGACTGCACTATCAGTGATCTTACTACCATTCAGAAATCCCATTGCGGTTGTTGTGTTTTTTTGGTCATTATCCATTTCAGTGTATTGAGAAATGTGTTAAACTAATAACGACTGAATTCTAATCGTATAAGGTGGAGAACGAAATCATTTTTTAAATATCGGCGTAAATTGACTTGGTGGCACTAATTATCATGATCACGTCATCATCATATTATCACAATCGTTACAAAGTTAATAGTGGCTTCATTTATCATCATCATTATCATTCTCCTCTCCTCCTCATCATCATTCTCCTCTTCATCATAATCATTTTTAATGAATTGAGAAAAACTATTTTAATAACGAAATCAACATCATTGCTGTCATCAGATCAGCATTATGTTTTTGTTACAGTAATCGTCATTTTCATCCTTATGTTACAATCATGACGATATCATCATCATCATCATCACCATCATCATCATCATATTTTAATCATTATCGTAGAGATGTTCATCCTCACTTTCATCATTCAGTAACCCAAAAGAGACAATGCAGATCAGACGCTTGCATTCGCTTCTTCAACTTCTCTTCTTTTTCATCTCGGTCATTCACCTGACCACTGCAGTGACCATCTTTTCTTCAAAGACGTACAAACGAGATTATTACAACGACATCAACAACAACGGTGTCCACAACAAAAATAACAACAACAACAACACCACAAACATCCGTGGAAACTGGAGTAACAGCAAAAACAACAACAACAATGATAAAAACAATAACCCAATTAACAAAAACAAATTCAAAAACTACAGCAACAACAACTTTAATAATAACAACAACAAAGACAACAGTAACCACAAATACACTTACCTCATCAACAATATAAATGTTAAAATTAATGAAACAAACGTACGAAACCTAAGTAGCCACACCCCCACTCACGACAACAATTTTGAGAACAACAACAATAACAACAACATAAACAAAATAAACAAAAACAACAACATAAACCACAAAAACAACAACATAAACAACAACAACAACATAAACAACAAAATAAACAACAACAACAGAAACAACAACATGAACAACAACAACATTATCAACAGTGGCAACAACTCCGAAAATAACACATTCAATGAAAACGACGTCATTAAATCTATTTTCAGAAATTCTCATTTAAATGTTGGTCGCAATAGCAGGAGCATTAGTATTATTAATCACGCCGGCGGGCTCCAGGACGCAGATGGAATGAATAACTTTGCCGAACGATCTTACAAATCTGCGACGGGCGATTATTATGGATGCAGCGCCAACAAAACTCTTTCCTCCAACCGCAATGTGGAAATTTATCACACACACAACTGCAGCCAGTTTATCAACACAACTGCGAAAAAAAAGCGT